CTTCCGTAAGAAGTGGATTCTCGCGCCCACAAAGACAGGGCAAAGGAGTGCATTGACGAGCCCATGGATATGGTGACCGGGAAGGCAATGCAATATTGTATCCGCGGGCGACCACTCCCATGCTTTAATCAAGCTTTGAACCTGGCTCATCAAACCTTTGTGTGTATGCACAACACCCTTCGGATGTCCCGTCGTCCCGCTTGTATAAATGATCAACGCCGGCGAATCGCCATCCATTCTCGAAGCAATATCGCTGGTACAGGTATCCCCCATCATACCTAAGCTGTCGCCTCGTTGACCCCCGGTGGCAGTTACGGTGCCTCTCCCTGACGATGTGCGCTCGGAATGATGTTTGTCATCGTGTGGCTGTGATTGCCTGTGCACCCCCTTGGAACCAACAGGTCCCAGATTGCCCTCAAATCCGATGCACAGTTCGGCTGGGCCCCTTACACTTCCAGCAGTCCACCGCAATGAGGTTTCCGTCAGGCATTCCTCAGAAGGGCTCGGTCTCATTGGGGGTAAAAGTACAAGCTTTGCCGAACACGCTTCGGCAAGCGGCACAGCGGTATCAAGATGCTCTAGCGTGGTGGCGATCATCGACACCCCTGCGTCTTTCATCACGTAATTCAACTCCCTGTTCGAATGCGACAACCCCAACGGGACAACGACACCGCCACTTAGCCATGTCGCGAACATGCCTCCAACAAACTCGTGCGACGGGGAAGCTAGCAAACCGACACGAACTCCCCTCTCCACTTCGTCGAGCTCCGCCTTGTTCAGCTCCAGAAACTTTTGACTATCCAGTTTCTTATTTGGTGCCGACTTCTCCGATGTCAGCGTGTGTGCATGCCTTACCTTGCCATGGTCACAAGTGCGCCGTCTCTCCCTGCGATCCCTAACCGCCGCGCATCCTACCCCCCCATTCTGTGTCATCGCTCCCAGGGTTCTTTGGGCAACACATTCCTTTGCAGGTGGGATGGCCCCATGTCCCCTAGAGAATCTAGGATCATATTGAATGTTAGCTTGGCCAAGGAGTTGGCTGAAGGAGTCCCGCAGAGCCCATTCTGACGAACACCATGCGGGCGATTCAGATGCAGCTCTACGAATACAGGCTTGGCTGCCAAACTCATTTGACTGCAGCGATCCTGCACATCTCGTGAGAAATGTCACTTGCGTCAAGCTTCGGTACAAAGAAGTTCCGTCGGATCTACACAGTTGATTGCATATGAATGCGGAACGGTAATCTTGCACTAAACGCCACCGCGACAAGGGGTAACTTGCGCTGCAACCGTGCGATCGACAGACTGGTAGGACATGAGAGAGAATCTTCGTCTGCCATGACGCCGCCCTCCTCACCACACGATCCATCCTTCACAAGTATCAAAGCCACACTGCGAACAAACCTTCGCAAAACTCGCCTCCCCCCCACCACTCTCTGGTTTACTCAGTGCAAATGCTGTGATGTGGCTGCACCATCTCGACATGGGTTCCAGGTCAAGAACCACCGCATCTACAAGCCAATATCCAAACGCGTGGCATGGACGCTCAGTCAAACATCCTTAATTCCTAATCAAAAGCATTCAATTTACCTTCACAACCCCAGGAAAGTACGGCTCCATCCATCCTCCCCCCCCCCCCCCCCCCCCCCCCCAATCCCAACCCTTTCTTGAGCTGCCCTCAGGTCCTTCTACTCATTTCAGATTGATTCTCTCTCCAAGAATCATCCACGATCCCTATCCTTTCTTAAGCTGCCCTCAGGTCCTTATGCTCATTTCAGATGGATTCTCTCTCCAAGAACCATCCATGCCTTACTTTCTCATAACCAACATCGTATTCAACAACTACTACTCCCATATACAAATAACAATGATCCTGTACTTGATATGCTCTTGTTCCACCTTCTCAATCTTTCCAATCAGGAGGCCCTAGCTCAGTTTTGATACACCCATGAAATGTTGAGATACAGACCCAAGTTCAAATCCTGGCGGAACCAGATCTCTGAAATCAACTAATTCTGAATTGTCTGGGGCCGGTCAGTTCACCAACGATATCTCAAGACCGTCGCCCTTTCCAGAAGCGCCCCCCCCCAAAAACTCGCAGGAAACCCGCCATCAGTGACAAGCAACGATCCCCATTCATCAAGTGACCTCATATAAAAAACATCATCGACTCTTACTTCATATGCTCTCAATTCCACTTGATACGCTCTCAATTCCACCACTACAAAACTCGCATCAGACGGTGGGGCATATTACCGGGGCCACTTCTAGCAGAAAACCTACCATAATCGACAACCAATGCTTGAGCTTGCTATGCCCTTTCAAACTGCACTAACGACTCCGGAATGAAAGATGAGAAGAGGGCAGTGCCATCAAATATCGGACCAACATGTAATTTTTTCAGACTCTTCAAGAGGGAAGAGATTGGTGTTGGTCAAAGCATGGCCACATGTCTTCTCTCCTATCTGTTCTCCTATCTTCTCTCCTATCATCATGGCATAGCTCATAATACAAAAGGCTCAAGCAACACGGGTGCAGAACCAATTAGACTATGTCTATGGGCCTCTCTCCAATACACAACACTAAAACTGGATCTGGACTTCTTCTAAGTAGACCTGGTACATTCAAAATGTTGGGACTCCATTGAATGCACCTGGTCAAGAAAGGCATCCAAATGCATGCAGAATGTTGAGTAGCAGAGGCAGGCCCTATGCTCAGGATTGGTTGGCAACCTGCAGGAATCCGACGAATGTGGTCCAAAGTCAACTGTTATGATCCAATTGTGATCGTCCAATTGTGATCGTCAGATTTCTTCGCAAGGACCTATGCATAGTCACCAGGACCGGTCTTTCTCATCTGGCTGGCTATGCTTAGGATTCCGTGGCCGCTTTCAAAGTTCTATAGCAAAAAAAGGACTGTCAGTTTAATGCACTCTGGCGAGTGATCTCTGCAGCTAGACGCCTTGAGGTTTTCTCCTATTTTCTGTGAGCGGGACACAAAACTTCTCCCGGCTTGTCCGACTGGGACGCATCTTGCGCATCACGGAAGTCGCAAATGAATTCTCGCTGCAGAATGCAGATGCAGGTGCAACCGCCCGCACATGGCCCCAGCCTTACAGAGAATGAACTCGTTCCCACCACCTCAATTTTCCGGGCTGGGCCGCCGTTGATAAATTTCATTAATGCCCTTTGTCGCATTTGCCGGGCCGACGTTAATAAATTTTCATCGATGGCCTTTGCTGCATTCCCGGCCTCGGAAAGTGCCGGTGAGGGGCCTGCAGCTGACCTGTGGCTGTGTACTGTTGGTTTAACCTGACTGTCATCCCTCCGCACGGAATGCATGTGGATGGTGACAGTGGTTCAGTTCAAAGCACGGCAGTGACAGCCGACATCGCCATAGGACCTTGCTTCCCATTCGTCGAAGATGAAGAAAAGATGTGATGTATTTATCACTCGCCATTTCAAACGTTCAGTGAGTAAGGGCCTCATTAGACCTTCCTTGGAAAATCCTCAGGAATTAGGAGGAGGTCCTTCAAGTTGGAAAATTTTACGATTTTCGGCGGCGGCGTGACACGCGTCCTAATTGAATGGGTCCCAAGGAAAACCCTTGGGGGTCTCACGCGGGCAATTTCATACGCATATACGCGGCCGTGGGGGTGAATGTCCGTCACCGTGGTGGGATGTCCGTGCGTCCTCGGGTGTGGTCCAGTGGCGGCGGCAGGCAGGTGTACCGGACTGGAAAAAAAAAAAAGGTGAGAACATCCCGGTTCAAAATTCGAATTTCGAAACCTTCGTTGCGATGCATCCGCGCCGGAGGCATCCAGGCGGCTGGAGTGCACACGAGCGAAACGTCTGATTGAGGAGGAGTACTGGTGGCCATGGCTTAATATGTGGACATTGGAACGTAGGCCGACATACTGCCAACTGTAACTGTCGTCCCGTGCGACGTCGCTAATGGGTTCCACATTCGTCTTCGGGGCATCCGTGACAATCCTATGGCCCACCATAGCTGAGCGCACACGTCACGATTCCGTGATGCGTGGAGAGTGCTGCCACCATTCCCGTCCACGTGGAGACAACGGAACGAGGCCGTCAACGAGCGAAAGAGTGTTGGGCAGTTGTGCATTGCACATCGTGAAGATGGAGGGACAGGTGCAGGACGGTGCGAATGCATTGACATCTTTGGAGAGAAATGCGGTGGTTGCAGCTGTGTCGACCGTTGCCATTCGTTATCGCATTGAGAGAACGACAGCCCCCCTGAAGATGAGACTGTCCATTCGCAGGCAGAGGCAGCTCATGCAACAAGTGATGGAGGCACCTGATTGTGTGTCGTTATCAGAATCCATTGTGCAATTCTGCTGCGCCATGGCGTCAGGTGTGATGCCATAGGCCGAGATGGTGGATGAGGAGAAGGACAGGAGGGACATGGGAGGATCTACGGAAGATGGACGCCACGGCGAAGGGCTACTATAAGGAGAAGCTGCGGATGTTCCGTAGAGTGTTCAGGGAGACCGTCGAGGCGTAGTCCCCTCATATGCAGCGGAGGGGAACATTCTACAAGGTGCCTTTGATGCCAGATCACATCATTGCATACACACTTTATCATTGGGCAAGCGGGGAGACGCCAAGAGCAGCACGTCATCATTCGGCATAGGACGTGCATCAGGATTGATTGCAGTGGAGGACGTGACTCGGGCGCTTATGAGGATGTACCGGGAGAAGATTGTTTGGCCTTCTGGGTTGGCGGCGGCTGGTCGTTCTGCCCGCGTTCGAGGCGAAGGGTTTCCCCAACTTCTATGGCTGCATAGACTGCACGGACTTCTATGTGGACAAACCAGCGAACGTGCCATCCGAGAACTACTTTGACCACCTGTCCAGCGTCTCCTTCCTCACCGCTCGTAGTTTCCATCTGCTGCCAGGACCCCGCACAACGACACAGACTTGCAACAAGACGACAAGGAGCAGGAGAAGAGTGGCCAGCAGCAGGAGCGGGACCCGCCGGAGGACGTCTGCCATGAATCGCACCAGACGAGGAGTGCAGCAAACAAAGCTCTCTTCCGTGCGGCCATCAATAGCCGACAATACACGCTGGTGAGGACTGCAGTAGGCCAGCACTGCTTACACATCGGCCATACAAAAATAAACGCTACCGTTGGACACCATGCCCAACGACGCACGCACGGAAAAGCCCGCCACACCAGGCGCCTCAGAGCTGAGGAACCACCCCCACATGGAGGCCGGCGGTGTCCGCCTGATGGACCACAAACGACCTTTACACCACCATCCACTCCAAATTTTGTTGTCGGCTCTACCCCACACAACGATCCGTCAATCACGGCCCAAGGGACCTCGCGAGGACCCCAACAATCCAAGGACGTTTTGGCTGGAGATTCTGAGGAACCCAAGGAATTCTCTCGGGGAGGGTTTCACATTTTTCCAAGGATTTTGGAGAAAAAGGACGTGCTGTAACGACGCCGAATTCCTAAAAAGCGGCTTTCCAAGGAGGGTCTCACGAGGCCCTAACGCACCGAGGCCCTTAACCGTCAGTTGCAAGCTTTTTCTTTCTGATCCACTTACTAGGCTGTTCCCTACGTCCCTACCGACCATGCCCCTTAAACCACCAGTACATGGGCACCTGGGCCGCGGGCCTGACACATCAAATTCTGGAGGGGCGAAACGAAAATGGGGCCGCCAATCGAAAATATCAACGGCGGGCCCAGCGTTTGATGTTTCGGCCTCGTTTTCTGGTGGCGACAAGTTTCGGACTGCAACGCTGGGGGCGTGTACTTGTGGTTTAACCCATCAATAGCAAGCCTTTTCACCCCCCCCACACACCCAAACGCACACCCACACCAACACTCGTACACACGTCCGCCCACCCACACACACACACACACACACACACACACACACACACACA